AGCTCAAGTTACAGGAAGGCAGATTTCAGTTGAATATGAGGAAAAACGTCCTGTTAGAGCAGTACAGCAATGGAACCAATTACTACCTCGCGAGGTGGAAAGTGCACCAACACTGGAGGCATTCAAGAGGCAGGATCTATTCTCAATCCTCCCAGAATGCAGGACATGCAGCAATGAGCTCAAGTTACAAGAAGGCAGATTTCAGTTGAATATGAGGAAAAACGTCCTGTTAGAGCAGTACAGCAATGGAACCAATTACCTCGTGAGGTGGAAAGTGCACCAACACTGGGGGCATTCAAGAGAAATTTAGACAACCACCTGACAGATATCCGTTGATTTGTATTGCTGCACTGAGTAGGGGTTTGGACTCAGTGGCCTTATAGGACACTTCAGACTTCATGATTCTATGGGTTCTACATACGATTTTGTTTCCCTCTCTTACAACAAAGGCATTTATGATTTAGTACATATTAAAGCAAAGCAAAGCGTGCTGCTTATATTACCATTAATTTCTCACCTATTTGCACTACACATCCCATCAATCTTCAGGTTGCTTTTAAATATATTTTGACACTGGTTTTATTTACAGTTTTCAATACTGTACCTGTTTAATTCGTTTTAAATATTGTATACTTACTGTTTTTAGCTTTTAAATGTTGTCTTTTTAATGATATAAATCACCTTGGGTCCTTTTAAGGAGAAAGGTGGAGTAAAATATTCTAAACAAACAAATAAATGTGAACACACCTATTCCCATATTAACTAAGCCAAATAACCAACATGCATAATCATCAATTTGGGTGCCATAGGCATGCTTCTGAAGGATGCTAACAGTGCCCTCTTTTAGAACAGTGAGTGTGGCAGATGGATGCTAAAGAAAGAAAGAAAGGATGAACCCTAAAGGATGCAGTCAGATATATGCTGCATATACAGTATATCCAAAGGTATGTGAACAAGCATCCAAGTGGAGAATTACTTTGGCTTGTTTTGCATGTGGTATGAGGATTAGAGCTACTGAGAAAGATGTAGGAAGTGACACGAGACTTTAAATAGAATAGGAAGGGCTGGTAGAGAGATGCATGGAAGAAAGATTAAATCTGTGTGATCTTCTTGGGCAGAAAGTTTAGCCAGGAAAGGAAAAGCTTGTAGCCCTCGAAATGTTGTTGACCTTCAGCTTCCTTCATTCCATGGAAGCTGGCATTCAGTATTTGGGGTTATTACCGAGCAGCCCCTGAACAGATTCAACTTAAGAACGTTTCAACTTAAGAACACCATTCCAAAACGGATTAAGTTCTTAAGTAGAGGTTCCACTGTAGTTTCTATGGACGGAAAAGAGCAGATACGGATTAAATGGTTTTCAATGCATTCCTATGGGAAATGCAGATTCAACATAAGAACTTTTCAACTTGAGAACCACCTTCCAATACGGATTAAGTTCTTAAGTAGAGACCCCACTGTAGCCAGATATATACTGCATATACAGTATATCCAAAGGTAAGTGAACAAGCATCCAAGTGGAGAATCACTTTGGCTTGTTTTGCATGTGGTATGAGGATTAGAGCTACTGAGAAAGATGTAGGAAGTGACACGAGACTTTAAATAGAATAGGAAGGGCTGGTAGAGAGATGCATGGAAGAAAGATTAAATCTGTGTGATCTTCTTGGGCAGAAAGTTTAGCCAGGAAAGGAAAAGCTTGTAGCCCTCGAAATGTTGTTGACCTTCAGCTTCCTTCATTCCATGGAAGCTGGCATTCAGTATTTGGGGTTATTACCGAGCAGCCCCTGAACAGAGCCCAGTGGCTGCAAATCAACCAGTGTTCATATGAGATCCAGAGGTGGGCAGCGGTGCAGTCCAAGACGCTTGCTTTGTTTTTTCGGAGCGCAGCCAGTTCGATCCCTCCCTATTAGGTGCGCAAGCCTGGACTGACCGGCGTCGCAGGCCGAAATGCATCTGGAAACGGGACATTCCGTCGATGGCATCTTTCCATGAGCCACTTACACCACGAGCCCTTCTCACGACCAAAGCAATACACAATCCACCCGATTTCTTTCTAAATGTCACCTTTAAAAAGCAAAGCCTCTTCCCCTCAGGATCTCTCGCTCCTTCCCTTAGCCCCCGAGACCACCCCAGGCACCAGAGCATTTACGATTTGCTCCTTCGTCGCGTTGAGGCTGGGCATCAGCAGGGCACGCCGTTTGGAGTCCGTACATCCTGCGGTGGAGTTCTCCCTTTGCCGCGCATCTGCCGCCCGCACCCTCTGGCGCAGGCAGAAGAGCGGCGATTCTGGCCCCGCAAGGGAAAATGCAAGGGGGAAGTTCCCCACCCAGTCCCTCGCCTCCCTTCCAGCCAGCTGTTCCCAATAAAATCGAATCGGGCCAGTCCGGAAATGGGGAGGGGGGGAGAGAAAAGGAACGTGCTCGGGATCTGAAGAGCGGTGGATCGGGTAGATTGCGAACAATTGCACCGGGCACCGGAATCCCGCTGAACTGGATTTTGTGGTTTGAGGAGGACGTTTCCTGCAGATTATTGGTCGAGTCTCCTGAAAACGAACTCCTTGCAAAGAATCCCCCTCCCCCGCATCCCAAGAAAAAGTTTCTTGTTGATTTGCAGCGTTTACTTTTTTTTTCTTTGAAATGACGATGATTCTCCTACAGGGCGTCCAGCATGTGGATTCCCCAGCCAGCTTTCAGTGCTCGTCTATACAACGGGGCTCATTCCACTTGGGATACATTCTGCCTCTTCAAAGGACCTCGCGGCTGTTGGCTAGGGCTGAACCTTTCCCTAAATAAATCCACCACAGAGATCACATAAGCAAAGAACTGTGGAGCTAGAAAGGACCCTAAAAGAGTCGATCCCTCCGATAAAGCAGGAAGTCTACAAACCGATGGAAGCAATGCAGCTACCGGTATATGCCAATGGCCTGCCAGAACTTGGGGAAATTTCTTTGTTTTGGACAACTTCCAGAATTCCCCCAGCCAGCTCAGGATCATGCATCTAGAGCAGTGGACCCCTGCCTTGGGTAACCCAGGTGTTTCTGGACTGCAACTCCCAGAAACCCCAGCCAGCACAGCTGGTAATGAAGGCTTCTGGGAAGTGCAGTCCAAGAACACCTGGGGTTACCCAGGGTTGGGAAGCACTGATCTACAGAAATATTCTGCTGACCCAGGCTACACCTGTGCAGCATAGTCATTCAGTTCACTGCAGGGCTTGTCTCCATTCACAAGAGTTTCCATGAACCAATGGTGAGGCCTTCACCTGTTCTTGTTACATGCCATCAGGTCACCTCCTAACTGTGGCCACCCTATGAATGAGCAATCTCCAAAATTCCAGACCTCAACAGCTCTGCTCAGCTTTTGTGAATTCAAGCCCGTGGCTTCCTTTAGGGAGTCAATCCATCCCGTACTTGGTCTTCCTATTTTCTTGCTACCTTCAACCTTGTGTAGCACTGTTGTCTTTTCCAGGGAATCCTGCCTTCTCATGATGTGCCCAAGGTTTCATCATTTGTGCCTCCAGAGATAGTTCAGGCTTGATTAGCTCTAGGAGCCACTTGTTTGTCTTTCTGGCAGTCCAGAGTATCTGCAAAGTTCTCCTCCGTCACTGTGTTTCAAACAAATCATTTTTTCCCTGTCAGCTTTTTTTAATGTCCATCTTTCACACCTGTATAGAGTGATCAGGAACACAATGGTGTGGACAGTCTTGGCTTTGGTCTCCGGGGACACATCCTTACCCTTGATGATATTTTCTCCACCTGTTGCTGGGCTAAAAATGTGACAGTCCCATACCAGACAGAACTGATGGGCATGGCAATCCAAGAACAGCTGGATGCTGTGTCCCCTGCTGGCCTAAACTGACTGGATTCTTCATGGTGGGTGAAGAAGCACAGCTGGATGCTTTGTCCCCTGCTGGCCTAAACTGACTACTGGATTCTTCATGGTGGGTGAAGAAGCACAGCCACACGTGGCAAAACGTTTTTGCTAGAAGCGACGCCACTGTCCATGACAGAAAGTAGCATGGATAAAGCTGTCTGGATAAAGATGAAGCCAGGAATAAGAGGAAAGCTAATGACTAGGACAGAAGAATAGGAGAAAATGGAAAGAAGCTCTGCAAGTCATAGGGTCCCTGGACCAGCCCCACCTTCCTTGGCCCCAAATATATACATACATTACAGACCTCTAGGCATTTAGCAGGCATGGATTGCAAATGTTTTTTCCAAACCACAACATTAAAAACATTCACTTTTTTTAAAAAGGTAAGATTTCCCAGGAGGGAAAGTCAAGTTTGGGGCTTACATGGTGCCTGGCATGAATCAGCTTTGCCCTGCCCTGAATCTATTACTGCTTTACTAGTCATTTCTTCTGAAAGCATTTAAACAGAATTCTAATACCCCCCATCCTAAATAGGCTTTCTCAAATGTCCTACTGTTCCTGTGATGTTTAGAATTACACCCTCAGTATGACAAAGTGCTTCTACAATTTCTTGCTTGTCTTGTTACATCAGTCATTATTATTCTCATTTTACAGGTGCCAAACAAAGCCTGATAGAAAATTATTTCCCGAGGACTCCAATTCACTGAGCACCCGGCTGAGCAGTTGGGTTGCTCCTTTCTGGCAAAGCCTCTGTGACTTTTGCACAACAGGAAAAAGTAAGGACAAACAACTGTTCCAAGGGCAAGCATGCCATCAAGGAAGACAGCTGTTGCATTCTTGCCTGTTATGCCACTGTCACAGGCACAGAGCTTTTCCTAGGATGAGAAAAAGTTGGCTATACTAACTCAGATCTAAAAACAGCACTGGGAGAAGAACCAGCCTGCGTAGCCTTGGGCAAGGAGCATCATCACAGGGTGCGCCCAGAAGAAGGAAATGGGAAACCAGTTCTGATTACTCTAGACCTAGGAAATCCTGGAAAGAGTTGCCATAAATTACAATTGACTTGATAGCACATGATTCTTATTGAGTGCCAAAGTTTCTTCCCAGACCGTTCACACAATATCAATTCCTTACCTAGAAAAGGGATATTCCTGCTTGTCTTGGCTATGACTGGGAACGTCTTGGAGTTTGTGTTGTTGTCTTGTATTTTGTTGCCCTCCAGGGATAATTTGTATGCCGTCACTGTGGTGGGAAGGTTCTTGCTGCTTCTGTCTTACACTTTGTTGTTTTCCAGATGTGGCATTCTGTGGGCCTTCGCCTGCAAGGGGAACGTCGTGGAGCATGTGTTGTCTTGTATTCTGTTGCCCTCCAGGGATAATTTGTATGCCGTCGCTGTGGTGGGAAGGTTCTTGCAGCTTCTGTCTTACGCTTTCTTGTTTTCCAGATGTGGCATTCTGTGAGCCTATGCCTGCAGGGAGAACATGTTGGAGTTTCTGTTGCTGTATTTCCAGCCCTGCAGAAGCTACATTAAGGTTGTCTTCACATTGATCGGGTTCTTCCTGAAGCTTTTGGTGTCTTAGGTCCCATTTTCCTGTGAAGACGCTCTGTACTATTTCTCCAGCTAGAAAAATATAAGAAAATAATTAATTCCCCTGTGCTCTTCGGCCCTTAGAAACACTTTATGTTTGAGTAGAGTACTCAGACATAGACCACACTGACCTTTGTTTTCTCTACAAGCTAAAAATAACGACACGGTGGCAGGAGTGGGAAATCTTTGGCCCTCAAGGTGGTTTTAACTCTTAGAAGCCCCAGCCAGCATGATCAGTTGAAGGGGTTATGGTCGTTGTAGTCCAAAACTCCTGGAGGACCAACAACTCCCCACCTCATCTAGGAGGGAATCTTTCCTGCTCTTGCATAGTGCTGTTTCTGGTGCATCTGAACTTGCTTCTTTGCCTGTGCATTCAATGCAACTCCAAATCCTGCACAGAAGAAAGGAAAGTCTGCCCATCCATGTCCTTCCACCATTCACCTGTCATAGTATGATCCACTTGAGTGAGCCTTAATATTTTCAGTGCAAAGAGAACCAACATGTTATGGGAAGATTTCAGTAGAACAACCTACAAGGGATTCAGTTACCCTGCAATGGTGAGGCTGAGTACAAGAACTGAGGCAAACTTATCAGAAGACCTTCTTTACCAGCAGAATATTGCAATTAGAGATGGCCATGAAACAAAAAATGAACCAGGAGATTCATCAAAATTGCTAATATGTTGGGATTAATTCAGGTTCATCCCTATCTTTTCCTGCTGCTGCTGCTGCCTCCTCTTCCTTAGCTGGCGCCACCATCTTAAGAGCCATCTGCGCTTGTCCCCGCTTCTCAGTTGGTAATCAGGGACATGTGCAGATAGCCCCCAGCCGGATGACAGGTTGGCTAACTAAAAATAAATAAAGAATATATAAATGTTTGTTTGTATAGATGGCTCAGGGCCAGCTGATAGCCTGAGTAACTAAAAATAAATAAATAAATATATTATTATTGGAGGGACGTGGTGGCGCTGCGGGCTAAACCGCAGAAGCCTGTGCTGCAGGGTCAGAAGACCAAGCAGTCGTAAGATTGAATCCACATGACGGAGTGAGCACCCGTCGCTTGTCCCAGCTCCCGCCAACCTAGTGATTCGAAAGCACACAAATGCAAGTAGATAAATAGGGACCACCTTGGTGGGAAGGTAACAGCC